ATAGTGCTCACTGCGCACCCACACTGTCTGGACATTGCGTACACTGCTTCTTCAAAGGTCGGTGGCGCAGGGGAGACATGGAGCACTGTGGGGGCCGAGCTGGTGCCAGGTGGAGGGGCAGAGCTGGAGATGGGCTTGCGCTCATGTGAGGCAGAGAGAAGGCAGTGTCTGCGGGCCCAGAGGAAGATGGGAGAGAGCCTGGGGGTGAGCTCAGAAAGCAGGAAGCAGTTAACCCTCACCCTGGCAGTTGGAAGAGTGCACGGGGAAGAGAAGAACAGCGGGCCGGAAGCATGGGAAGGCACGTGCAGCGGAGACATGCAGCACACTTGCCAAGCCCCATTTGGGGACCACCTGAGTTGAGTCATTATGATATAGCCAATGTTTTGATCTCTGTCTCTCCGATTCCTACTTGTTCCTAAGCTCAGCCAAATAGTGAGGGATTAGCTGTTGGTCCACCAGCTGCCACCCCTCCCCTTCATCTCAGGCTCTGACTCCAACAGTTCCCCCCAGCATGGCTTCCCACTTCCGGCCTCCTCCTCTCCTTCCTGGAGCCAGACTTTGCCAAGTGGCCCTCTGGAGATTAGGATTAAAATGGTCAGATCAATTCAGCAAGATCCTCGCAAGAAAGCATTTCTTGAGTGCCCATCCCGTGACAGCAGTCTGTTCCTGGGGTTTCAGAGGGCACCTCTGTCTTCCTGTGGTTCAGTTGTTAGGTCTCCGGCCTGCCTCGGTCTGTGGCCGTGGCACTGTGTCTCACAGTGACACCCCTTTCTCCTAGATCCTAGATCCTAGATCCTAGAACTTCAGAAAGCCATCCTTTGTTACTTAAAATCTCCTTTAGTATCCCAGATTTTATCACCAAACGGTTCTAAAAGTCCATTTGCCCTGGTTTCTTTTTTCAAAACCGTGTCAGTCATGGAACATTTGGTCTCCAGAGCGTTACTTCTGTCCTTCTACACTGCATTGTAAGGACGAGCATTATTCGTGGTTTCTTTCTTTCATATTTCCAGCTCTTTTTCTCTTCCTTCTGTGTTCCTTGTTTCTATCCATGTCTGCTGCTCATCCAGGCCCCAGATCCCAGGATCTGATGATGCTGGGTTGTTCCTGACAGTTTTACCTCTCAGATCCATCTCCTCTTTCCCGTCCTTGCCACCACCCACGCTCTGCCATTGCTCCTTTCTTAAATTTCAGTCCAACAGAAATGCACTAGCACCTCCCTCTTACACAGCGCTAAGGAGACAGAGATGAGTAAGGCAGGCTTCTCTGCCTTGTTTGGTAACCTATTACCCGATCTTTCCCGCTCTCCTCCATCTAACGAGATATTGCCGTATTCATCTTCATCAGGCCCAGCCCTTCCAATGGCTACAGAATGAAACTCGACTAGTGCTGGAGGCCCACCAAGAACTCATTGCTCCACCTGGCCTGGGCTCCAGCCTGATGGAACCACTGACACTTCTCCAGACAGACTTGTTCTCTCCTGATTCCATTCTGTTATTTCCTGAGAGTGTCCACGCTTGTCTCCCCATGGCCACATCCTGCCTTTCAAGATTGGGTTCATAGGTCACCTTCCTTTCCACCAACTAGTGGGGAAAAAGCATCCTCTCCCCTGAACTCTATTACCTTTTTGACATGAGAGGTCCCCGGGGTGGTGGTTAAGAACGTAGACTCTAGAGCCAGGATGCGTTAGTTTGAATTACAATTCTGCTAATTGCTAGCTGGTGTAACCTTGGCAAGTTACTTAACCTCTCTGTGCCTCATTTGGTTTCTATGTAAAATGAGAATTGTAAATAGTACCCACTTCGTGGAGTTTTGAGAATTAAATGGGTAAGTATGTGACGCACTTAGCACAGTGAGTAGTATTAATGCATAGAAGGCTTTATGTAACTTTTAGCTTGTGATGTAAAAGCGTACACATAAGGCTGTGAGTGTTACCTATTGTGATGTTGTTCATTGAGAGCAGGGTCTATATTCATATCTGTAGCCTAGATATCAGCATGGTAATCTGGTGTGTGTCAGGCATATACTGTGGACAGGGTCGTGTCCTTGCCCTGGCGTAATATTTAGAGCAAAAATAAGATTGTGGCCTTTAACTTTCGTCCATGCCTTTTCAGTAACCTTTGAAACGGAGTAGAATCATTTACACTGGGCACCTGGGTGGCTCAGTTGGCTAAGTGTCTGACTCTTGACTTCTGCTCAGGTCATGATCTCAGGATCATGACATTGAGACCTGTGTTGGGCTCCACACTCAGTGGTAAGTCTGCTCAAGATTCTCTCTCTCCCTCTGCCCACCCCCACCCACCATACCCCTATATACAAGCTCTCTTTCTTTCTCTCTCTCAAATCATTAAAAAAAAAAAATCATTTACACTATTCTCTCTATTCTCTATCTTCAGGAGGCACCTAACTGCATATTCAAGTAATAGGCATGGTGTCAGTGGTATTTTGTAATTTCGAACTTGCCCCTTTATACTGATCATATAATTAAAAAAATTTTTTCCTTCGAATTTTTGAACCAGTAAATAAACTTACTGCCCATTTTTTCCTCCCTTTTTCTTAAAATGAATTGACTAATCCAGACCTATACCTAACTTGGTCTCCTTTAATTGGATCTAGTATTTCAGTAAATTGGGGTCTATAATAAAATTATCCATCTGTAAGTATAAAGGAAATAAAATTAAAGTTTGATGAATTTCTGTATGCATGTCCGATGAGGATATTTTTTTTGGAATTTATTTGCCAGATAGTTAACCTTTTCAAAACAGTAATAATTCTGTTTTTGTGATACTTAATTTGGTGCTATGTCACAGGCAGGGCTTCATTACTTTTGATGAATGTGTTTCAAAGGCCCATTATACAGCTGGTGCTGTTTTTAAATCCTCACAGAAAAATGAGAGTTTGAACTCTCCTTCAAGTTGCTCCATCTCCTCATCTGTCATGTCCTAAACTTCCTGTGCTATCCTTGACCTGACGCCTGAACGTCTGTCCTTCCACACCTGTGCCTGCCGTGCTCTGGACCATTTGTATGATTGTTGGATTTGGGGGAAACCTATTAATACTGGAGAAATAGCTGTTGCAGCTTCAGTACAATTTTAAAGAAATGTATATTTATCACAATAGCATTCACATTCCCTTGAAAACTAGAGCAGACTTGCGCTAGGTGTTCAGTGTGGAGACGCTGACCGTGCGCAGGTGGCGTGCTGCCCCTTGCAGTGACGCAAAGCCCTGAGAACGCCGTGGTCCAGCTGTCCAGTGTGCGGGGAGCACCTGGTGCACTCCCGTTTTCCCTTTCACACTCTGGACGATCCTCATGTGGCCCATGCAGCACACGGTCATTCCAACAGTGACCTGCAGGTGGGCATTTGTAGTAGGTCTTTTCCCGCTGTCCCTTGTCCCCTGCATGCACTGACCTCTCACCCGCTGGTCCCCCATCCACTCGCAGACCAACACTGGCCCCCACAGTTCCTTGTGCCCCTTGATTCTGTGTCAACACCCCCATGGTTTGGTACCTGCCTCTGCGGGGATCAGAAATAAGCCTTGTTCCAATGTGGCCCAGCCCCTGCCATGGTGCCTGCCGTATTGGGGTTTAGCATAGAGGTAAGTGAGTGGATGAATTGCAAGGATTAAATGAGTCCATGAAATACGTGCCAGGCATTGAGAGTAGTGTCTGGTGCAGGCGACAAGCTCAGCTACTGTTAGGACCCCTGCTGCGTGCTGGACGGCACTTTAGGTTTGGGGAAACAAAGGGAAAATGACAGGATCCCTGCTCTCCTGCAGCTTACATGCTCCTGGGGGGAGATCGACATCCGTATTTCAGGGAGTGGTAAGTGCTGGAAGGAGAATGAGGCAGAGCGAGGGACAGACGGCAGTAGAGGAGTGCCCTAGTCCCTGTATCACAAAGCAGGGTGAAAGGGGACTTTGGATCTCAGTCACAGTAATGTGCTGTCTGGCACAGGCACTGAGGAATCAGCGACAGTGGTCTGTGCAGGGGGAGAGCGCAGGGGGTGGTCAGGGAAGCTGGCTGTGGGCAGAGATCCGAATGGGGCAGAAGCGTGTGGACATCTGTTGGAAGAGCATCTGCTGGACGGCATTCCAGGCTGCAGCAGGGTCAGAAGCGGGTGTGGCCGATCGTGGGCAGCAGAGCAGCCATGTGGTCGGGGTGCAGGGTGGGAGCGTGAGTATCAGGAAGGTCACATGTTGGGTTGGTACTTTGTGTTTTATTCTCAGGGAGGATGAGTGGCTGGCAGGGCTAGTAGATGGAAACAGAATGAGTTGAGTCTGTACGTTATCTGAGGTCCCTTTTAACTTGATAATTTTGTGATTTTAAATTTCTGTTACAACGTCCAGTGTGTTTAATTAGGCTCATTAGCATCACTGTTAATAATAGTGCTGCCACACCTGCCTTGCTGTCAGGAAGAGGAGCAGGCACTCTAACCCTAGTATCTTGAGCTTCACGGTGCCGCGTTCCTGTAGGTGAGCATCCTCCCTAGCTCACGTTTTCTAACTTAACATCAGGGAAACGAAATGTTTCCAAAAGCTCTTTTATTGTGGCTCGTGAGGACTGCTTGTCAACGTGGAAAAAACAGCAGCCGGAATCAGCTTTCCACACATGTCTCAAGGGCCTCCAATAGCAGCCCCCGTGATTCTCCCTGTGGCCCCCAGGGCGTTCTCCTGTTCATCAAGTTCTGTCCTCGTGTGGCACGGGAGCTTTCACTGGCGGCCCTGTGGCTCTCGCAGCCGAAGCCCACACTCCCGCTCAGGCCCATGCCGCCATGCCCAGCTCCGCTGCCCACTCACGGCCTCCGTGTCTATCGCCTCCACTATGTAGAACGCTCCCCCACCTCCTGGCTTGGCCAGTTCATCTTCACCCAGCCTTGGCTTAATGTCATGTCGATAGGGAAGCTTTCTCTTCCCTTCACACCCCATCCAGACAACATCTGTAGTCATTTGCCGCTGCTTTAAAATTTTGTCACCCACCCCACTTTTTTTTTTTTTTTTATTAGCCACGTCATGTCTGAATACGGAAGGATGACAGACACAGAACGAGACCAGATAGACCAGGACGCTCAGACGTTCATGAGGACCTGCTCCGAAGCAATTCAGCAGCTGAGAACTCAAGGTGAGGTGCTCTGAGCAGCGCAGTCCACCCGCCAGGACTTTGTGAAGCCTCAGCCAGGATTCACAGGACGCGCCCAGCTAAGGTCTCTCCAGTGTTACTGTTCAGGTTTAGGTTTCAAAACTTTAAAATTCCTCTTTTCTTGATCAGCCGTGAAAGTAATGAAAAGGCCATGATTCAGGTTAAACAGTGCGAGGAGGGAGGTGAGGAGGACCTCTCCACACACAGACATCTCCTAAGGGCCAGAGTGGACAGCTTCTGCGCGCCCCTGTGCTCTTTGGGGCATTTAGGGGGTCAGTGGTCAATGGCGTGTGGACAGGGACAGAAGAGGACTTTCTCAGCTCTCTACTTGGAGTAGGAAACTTCCAGAGCAGACTGTTGCGCTGAAGAGGAGGGCGCTGGAGCTGTGGGTGCTTTGGTTTGGTGCTCCCCTGCCCCAGCGCCACCGCCTTCTACCCACACAGCTTTGGGCAAGGCACTCCGTTGTCGTGCATCTTGGTTTGTCTGTGGTGGAGACAGTTCTAGGGTGTATCTCTTGGGGTTGTTAGGAGAATCCAGTTGAGTTCAGCACATGCTTAGCACCATGGCCAGCTCCTGGGTTCTCAGTATCACGTCGTCTCCACTGATGTTTCATTCTCACGGGGGCAGTGAGACAGCCTCCCTAGTCGTGTATCTTCCTTGACCCTTCCATGATGTGCTGAGGCAGGTTCCATTAAGTAGCACAGAGCTCAAAGGGGCCAGAGGCTGCTGAATTCTTGACGTTGATTTCTACTGGGAAGCTTCCGTCACAGCCCTAGTGGCCACTCGGAGTCTGTTGAAAGCTATGGACATTCTGGCCAGAGAAACACACCTCCTCACAGAATTTTGTGTATAGTCGCTCATGTGAATGAATCTCAGGTTAAGCAGCCCAATAGTAAAAACATGATTCATGTCTCCTACCCTTAAGGGCCTAAACATTCATTGAAATAATCTAGAAGTACATGATTATGAATAAAACCAGCAACTAAGTACCAAACCATGGACTTCTTACTGACTCTGAACCTGGTTAGCTTCTCTGTGTGTAAACACTTGGCCTCCAGCTTGCCTTTTGCTTTAGCAGTCATATGTGTGACGTTCCCTCCGAGCGCCTGCATGTGGGAGGCACTCAGTCTCTCAGGAAATGAGAGCTGTCCTACAAAAATAAATGACACAGACCTGCAGCAGACATGATAGTTCGCAGAAGCCAGGCGTCTTTATAGCTAGGAGAGTCAAGGAGGGTTTCCTGGAGAAGGAAGGTTTGACTCTGTGTCTAAGGGGCCTTTGGAATGGGAGTAGCTGAGGGGCGAAGACGGAATGTTCTAGACTGAAAACAGCCCAGACAGGTGGGGTAGTGTGGGGCTTGAGTGCGATTTAAACATGTTACTTGAAGGTCAGCTTGAGCGTTGGATGATGGTATTACAAATGGGGTCAGTTCTCAAGAAGTGGGGCACGTCAAGTACCATCCCTGCATGCTGTAGTAAACCATAAATTCTTTGACTGTAGTTTTTCCACAGGTTTAATCTTTTACTCTTCCGAAGCCCAATAAATCTTCCTCTTCTAAAAATGTGATGTCACTTGACGCACTTGTCTTATTGCTGTATTTTTGCAAACACTTTCCATACAGAAACTATTCTGAGGAAGCTGATGAATTGTTCCCTGTGTAGTCGAGTGCGGAGACCTGACTGCTGTCCTTTTCTCTTCCAGCCCACAAGGAGATACACTCCCAGCAAGTGAAGGAGCACAGGAGCGTGGTTCTGGATTTCATCGAAGATTACTTAAAAAGTATTTCATTTTATCTTAAAGGTCGAATGTGGCATTTCACCATAGACGTGATGCAAAATTTAGCTGTGCTAGCCGAAGACTGTAGTGTCTCCTTATACATAATGACACCTTTGCCTGCGAAACGGTTTTAAATGGTCTCTGTTCTGGTGTTTTCCCTACAACAGGAGTATGTAAACTTTACTCAGAACAGAGAGCCATCCGAGTTAAACGAGTGGTGGATAAGAAAAGACTGTAAGTATTGTCTCGGCTGGGGTTCCTTAATTAATAATGGTTGTGATAGCAACTCATATGTTTGTAGAATCCTTTTGCTTTGCAACATACAGTGCTTGGATATCTTCACAAAATGCTATAACTAGTGCTTACGGAGCCCTGACTATTGTGCCAGGCACTGTCCTAGATTCATGATTCACTCCGCACCATCTGCCCCGTGGGACAGGTACCATTCTTATCCTCATTTTTCCAGAGGGGAAGGCTGCCACTGGCGAAGCTGGGTAACTCACCCAAGGTCCCACAGCCAGGAAGTGGCAGAACCGTCCTTTGAGCCCAGGCTGTTTGTTCATTCAGAATCCACGCTCTGGCTCATCTTGTGGTAACAGTCCTGTGTGGCTGGCACATTTTTTAGCCATCGTACGTCTTTCTCTTTGTCCCCGGTGCCTCTCCTTGCTCTCTTGAAGTCTTTTCCTGAGGTGGGAGCCCAGCAGCCAGTGCGCCTCTGTGAGGCGTTCCCTAGGTCATCAGTGTGCACCTCCCTTCTAACAGAGCACTTGATGCCATGTGCTCTTAGGAACCCCCTTTTGCAAGTGAGGACGTTAAAGCCCCCAGGGGGTTAAATGACTTGCACAAGGCCACAAAGCCAGGAAGCATCAGAGCTGGCCTTTAGTATCTCCTGTGGCATGGGTCTGTTCCCCAGCCTGTCCTCCCCGAAGGGGTGCATGCCAGTTTCTAGAGCACAGGGACTCGAAGCTGCTTCCCTTGCAGCTGGTCACCCAGCCTGAGCTAGGAGTCGTAAAATGAGCAGGCAGTGCTAGGTCCCGGCTTCAAATCTTGACCACTTCTAAACTGGCCTTGGAACTATTTTAGGGCATTCTTGGAGAAGGTAACAGAACATACTGCATGGGGACAAATTTTCTTAATTCTGGTTATGCCGAGACCCCCAGCACAGTCCCGGGTTAGGGGGCATGCTAGGAGGACTTGCGGAACTTGTGGCTGGGATTTGTCACAGTGAAGAGGTGCAGAGCAAATGGCAAAGGGAAACGGGTGATGTGTAGAGGAAACTGGGAGTGGGCTTCCAAGAGTCCCCTTCAGTGGAGTCACACAGCATGGGACTTGTGACAAGTTGTGAGAAATGCCCGCTAGGGAAGCTCACTGGAAACTCACCGGCCAGGGATCTCACTGGGGGCTGCTCACAGAGGCCCTTCCTGGTTGGCACATGCCCGAATTCTAGACTCGCAGCAGGAAGGCAGGTGTTTCTGCAAACACCACACTGTCCATACAGCAGTTCAGGCACAGGGAACCCCTCAGCAGTTAGGGCTATGGGAACCCTCCCAAAGCCCCAGTTCCCAGACACCAGCCCAGGGCTAAGCCTGCACATAGGCCTTGCCCAGGAGGGCAGTCTCAGGCCTGCTGTGTTAACTTCTGTGCACTGGTAGGCAGATTTGCAATTGTAATGTCGACAGACAGAAGTATCTATGGGGGTAGTGAGTAGATGAGCCAAGTCATCGACCAGCAAGTAGTTACTATTCATTACAGCAAGGTGATAAGGATAGGCAGAGAGAGAAAGAGGTAAAGTCTCTGCCCTCAAGGAGCTTAGAGTCAGGCTGGGTTGCTGTAGAAACATGAGAAATTAGCCCACTGAATCAGGGTATGTCACAGTTAGCCCATTAACAAGTTCAGGAGGGGAAAGGGAGCTAAGGAGTAGCATAGTGTCAGGTCTCAGAGCTCACAGTCAAGCCGGACAGCCTGCCTCTGCCACTGAGAAGCTGTGTGACTTTGGGAAGATCACTTGACTTCTCTACACCTTAGTTTCCTCCCTTGTAAAATGGAAAAATTCAGGATCCCCACCTTACTGGGTCATGAGAACAAAACGCACTGGGATGTGCGGAGTGGTAACATGCTAGCTTGGGCTGTTACCTATGATGGCGCATTTACCCTGTGCTTGTCGGCGTGTCAGTTTCGTTGGATCCTCACAACTACTCTTGCTAATAATAATAATACTGGTGTCTGGTTTTATTGAGGACGTCGAGGCCCAGAGAATGTGGGCTCCTTACCCGGCATCACACAACTGAACCAAGGTTGAACGCCAGGGTAACGTGGCAGACTTCTCAAACAATGGGCTTTGTGCTGGACGTGGAAAGAGGAGGGTCTGGGAAAGCGATGACAGAGGATGAAAGCAGCCCCAGCTTGGGGAGGAGAGCAAGTGGTGGGATGCCCAGAGCCGTCCTGGAGGAGAAGGGTGGGCCTGGCCACCAGTGACTTACCGGCCCCCACCCCCAGGGTGGTGGTCACTCGGCCCCCCACCCACCAGTGGGAGAGGCACCCATTTCTGCTTCCTGACCCAAGTGGACCCTGACCCTTGAGACTTAGCAGGTACCCCAGGTAAAAGTGGGAAGAAGCTTTTGCTGCTGCCCCCTCACTTCCTGGTTCTCAACAGAGGTTTCGACAAATTAAGATCAGTCAGATGGGAGTTGTTCTCATTTCGACAGTCAAGTACAGGCTCGACTCCTGCTGCATAGCTGGCCTGTACCAGTTACTTTGAGCAAAAGACCTTGAGGGAAGTAGCTATGTGACCCACACAATGTAGTCCGTCCGGCCTCCTCCCTGTTCTTTCCTCACCTCGTCCCAGAAGATGACGGCCTAAAACACACATAGAGTGTTACCACTCCCTCACTTCCCGTGTCTTAGAGAAGCTCAGCTTCATAGCGTGACATTCAAGACCCACAACAGTCAGTCAGCAGCCTTGGCTTCTCACTCGGTCCCTGTGGATCTCTGCTCTGACCCTACATAACTTTGTGTCCTCAGGAAGCCTTGTTCTTTGAAGCCCTCATGCCTTAATCCTTGCTCATTTCTCTGCCCAGAATGCCATTCACGTATCCCTGTACTTTCTGCCCCTCTTTTCCCCATTCCTCCAGCAAGCAAACTCCTATTTATCCTTCCAGCCCCGGTTAAAATGTTGGTTGCTCTTTAAAGACTCCCTGGCCCCCGCGGGCCTTGCTGGTGGCTCCTTTCTGTGCGGGTTCCCTGCACACTGTCACGTCGGTGTAACACGTACACTCCTTGAGAGCTGCTCAGACCCCTGCGCCCATCACGCAGCACGATGCCCATCCCAGTCTGGGGAAGCCGCTCCCTGAGGGCTGCTGGGTGAGTGAAGGACAGGTTGCCCAAAGATAAGTTCACAAGTTGGATTTGTGGGTTGTTTTTGTACTGTTTTGTCTTGATTGGTGATGGTTATTGATAAAAATCATTCCCCTAAACTAGATTCGAGAAACCCGAGTGCTCCCGTTTTAGGGCAGAGTTGCTACTCTCATGTTTCTTTTGTTCTTGGCAGAAGTAAAGCATATTTGGTAGAGAGGGAACTGTCAGGCTGTTGATTTGAAATCTTTCATAGTGTAGAATGAAAGATACTCTCTGCTGGTGTTCGTTTTCATACAGTGATGATAACATGCTGGTCTCTCGTAGCAAAGGGCGCTTATCCCAAAATGGGGGAAATGTTTTGCTCATTAAGCCAGAAGTGGTCTCAGCTGATCTTTCTGCTGTTCTCTCTCTCTGTGTTTTCTTAGAAGGGTAGCACCATTGTCCAGTGTGACTTTTTTCTCCCATTCCGCAGCAGCTGTGCTCTCTGAGTTGGCAGTGGCACCTGCTGCCAGTTGTCCTCAGCTGGACCTGACGGCCAGTAAGAACTTTCACTGTGGTCTCGCGTCTCTTCTTTCTCCTGCGCTAAGACCTTGAGCCCTTTGAAGGCAGAGACACTGTGTCTTCCATCTCTGGGTCCCAGCACCTTGATCAGAGGCTGCCACAAAGTAGGTGCTCAATTACTGGTTCTTGAATGAGGGAAGGAGTGAGGCATGGTCACTAATGCCTGGCTCCTCAGGTCTACACAGTCAGAGCTTATAAGTTGAAAAGGTTGTGGGCCACCATTGGACACAACATTGGTATAAGTGGCCTTGTCTTCCCAAAAGGGTTTGAAATATGCCCTTTATCATCCTAACCATCTTAAAGCACTAATATTTTGGTTATAATTTAACTATCACATGCCTTCCCGGGAATATACTCTAAGAGCCATCTGAATTAATCAGAAACATTTCCCCTTTTCAGAAAGTAATCAGGTCCTGTATTACTGGCTTTTCCTTGGGGAAGAGGTTTAAGGTGGCTGTCTAGAAACCAGAACAAACCTCCGATGTTCATTTCTGCGAGTTCAGGGGATTGTCTCTGGAGGCACAGTAGGCAAGATAGGAGCCCTGGAACAGATTCAGACTTACACTGTTAGGCCTGTCTCTGTAAATTCTGTTTCTTTCTTACCCAGGGGTGGATTATCTGATCCTATGTTTACCCATGACCTGGCTTTAAAGTGTGCTGGTTTAGGCCCAGATTTGAACACTTTACTTTCACTAGTACTAGGATGTCCTTAGAGTGGGAACTTTTGGCTATTTTCTCCTGTCTCAAGGGAGATTTGAGAAGGCTCAAACCCACTGCCCGAAAGACAGTGGTTTCTTCTCACATTGGGTGATACGAAACATTATGGAGGAAGGATGAGGCACCTTCTGCATTTACCCATGTAGCTCAAAGTTAATTTCCAGAATATTAGCAGATCCTACTGTTAATTCTAATGAAGGGTAACGTGAGAGTTTCCTAAGGTACCTGAGGGGATTCTGGTGACCTAAGTAAGTGTTACTCTAAAGATAGTTTCTTGGTCAAATGAGCCTGAGGAACACTGAGTGTACGTTGCCGTACGTTGATTTCCTAAGCCCTGCTCGCTGTGGAGTCCTTCACTCCTGAATCACAGGCAAGCACACTTCAGGAAATACTGCCTGATCCCATGGCTGGGTGCTTGACCTTACATTTCTTATTTACTCCCTTAAGTTGGTACGAAAGATCAAAATTTCACTACATTTCCTTTTTTCCTCCACCTTTTTGAAAAAAGGCACTGGTGCTCTTGTGACTCATACTCTCCCCTGCTTACCTGATCCTTACAGAGTGTACTTGTATTATTATTTATGATTCAATTCCCTCGTCTC